TAAAAGTCTCTTATTTTCTTCACTCAACTCTTCCACCAAATTATTACTCAATATTTCAGACATTGTTTTAACAATATGTTTGTCACAAAACTACTGAATTTAATGAACAAATGTGTTTATAAATCATATAAGTCTTACGTGTTGTGGGCTGTAATCAAAACCTGAAACATACTGATACTGTATTTATATAAAACATGTTTAATGGTTCTTTATGATTTCTATTGAAACCTATTAAAACAAGATAAAATAATTAAATATTCATTCAATTTATAAAATAATGACAGATTTAATTTACTTTATTATAATTGTTAATGTTTATAATAAAATAATTAATTAATTAGTTAATTTTTAATTGAAGTAACATAATATCGATATAGTATTAAACCCAATATAACATGTATTACAGTCAGATATTATTATTAAGTCACGGCTAGTTTTATGTAATACCGAAAATTTGGTACTTTTTGTAAAATTTTTAACATAGAAATGTATACAATTAATCTTACATAAAGTCTAAGACTTGTAGTTTTCTCGCTATAAAATACATCCCTTTCCTCCCGGTGCTACAAATTAACAAAATATTTTTTATTTTTAAATGATAGAGAATTAAATTCTCTACATTTTCCATATCATAACTTTGCAATACACATATTGATTAATTTTCTATAATTAATTAAAGATTTGAATTGTTTAAATACCCGGCCTCCCTGTGCTCTAACCATTAGGTATTAGGTTAGGATACAAACCATTGACACCATGTATCCTTAGAATTCTACGCTCTTTCAATGGTGTTCTCAGGATTACCAGCTCTACCAGCCCCTTACAAATAGGTGCCTGTCCATTAGAGTACAGAAAGACAATGAAAATATGAAAAAAGTATATTTTCATATTATTTTTAATCAATGTAGTTTTTAAAATAACGATTTTGCCAGTACTTTGTTTCCACCTCAATATGAATCAAAAATCAATTTTGTTGACAAAATATTTGCTTTAATTTTGTTTGATGTTTGCTATTTGTTGAACATATTTGTGGTACCATGTTTACTTTAATTCATTTATGCCCGCATCTCAACTCAAAACTATATTTGACAACTATTTTCATGTTTTGTGAGAATAAATAATAATGAATATTAAAGTATAATGATAATGATAATCAACATAGTTTTATTATTAATCGATATAATTAAATATGATATTAATTATAATATTTATAAATTAAACACATTAAGCATATTATAAACATGTAATACAGTAATATATATTTATTTATACATTTCTATATAAAAATATTAATATTCATATTAAATTAATTTAAACAAGTCAAATGTCCTTTTCAAATTCCGAAATACATAATCAGACCTTTGTTCAAATTATAAGTAAGTATGAATGTCCCTTATCAAAAGTAAAATTTATCATTTCGGTAGATATTATAGTATTCTGTATCATAATTAGATTTAATTTCAGTAAAAACTAAATTCCGGGACTGACTTTTGGGCACACTGGGCACACTAGTCCACACGGACCTACTAGGGCACACTGGACTACCCGAACACTTGTAATAGGTTATTATATAGGATATTGTAATAAATTAAATCTAAAAATGTTTAGTTTTGTTTAGTGAAATTGTTTAATGTTTAAGAAATTATAATAATGGTTTATTATTTTTTAATCCCGTATATATTTTTTGTAGAAAAATTCTACAAATTCATGTAAAATAAGTGATAAAATGCTTTTCAATCACAACACCATTAATACACTCAACACTTATCACTATTTCCACTGTTTTTGGCCTAAATGTCAGTTCAAGACTCGCTCTGAGAATCAATTAACAAACCATCAATCAATTCACCTTGATATAAAACAATATAAATGTGATTTTAATAATTGTAATAAAGTTTATACTACTATTAATAAATTAAATCGACATAAAAATAGCTGTCATTTAAACGTGAGATATGTATGCGATTGGAGTGAATGTCGCAAACAATTCACACGAAAGGATAGTTTACTAAAACATAAAAGTGATGTCCATTTGAATGAAAATAAATTAATATTTCACTGTTTTTGGCCTAAATGTGAGTTCGCAACCAAGGTAAAATGGCACTTAACACAACATCAATTAATACATTTGAGTATAAATTTACTTAAATGTCCATTTCATAATTGCGATAAAGTTTTTAAACTCAAATCTCATTTAAATAATCACAAAATTAGCGTTCATTTAAAGCGGAGATATGTATGCGATTGGAGTGAATGTGGCAAACAGTTTGCAACAAAACAATCAATAGATCGACATAAAAGTGACGTTCATTTAAACAACGGATCTTTCAAATGTAATGATCCAAATTGTACTAGAACATTTACATCTAAACGAGATCTAATTGAACACAAACGCATACATTCGGGTGAAAAGCCGTTTGTTTGTCATTTAAATGATTGCCACAAAAGGTTTGCCTACAAATCTGCGTTAACCTCCCACACAATGCTTAGGCATTTAAATAGGAAAGTCAAGTGTAGATACCGTGAATGTAATGAATATTATGCTAACAATAATGAATTAAAACAGCATTTAATTGATGCTCATATGAAGGGGAAGCCTGTCTACCAGTGCTCGCAACCAAACTGTGAACAAGTATTTAATAATAAACAAAACTTTTATCGACACAACCTTTCCATTCATTCGAAGCAAAAGTCATTCAAATGTGATGAACAGTATTGCGACAAAAGTTTTGCCGAAAAAATCTTCTCTCAAAACACGCCTGAAATGAATGCATAAGAAATGTAAATAAAATATTGGGAAAAAAGTTTTAATAAAACATTTTGAAACTTATAAAAATGTAATTTTAATGTAATTCAATAATTATATATAAAAATTTATTTTATGTTTTATTTAATTATTATCATTATTTTTATATTATATTATTATTTCTAATAATTATCACGAATCATGATTTCTTTAAATAAATATTTTTGATTTAAGATCTAAAACTAAATGACAATGGTATAATAATTAATAAAGTGTCTTAATAATAATAATCGCCAGGTTTCCCTGGTTATTTTAAGGAGCCCTGACTTCACCACTTTATCATATAATCATATAATATTTTTATAAGACTCATACGCAATGGGATTTCAGTGGACAATGTAATCGCCGTCTACTTAGCCTCCGTCAAGTTCGGGGTACCGGAGCTCGAGGACATGTGTCTCACATACGCTGTCAAACACATGACACAAGTCAGCCAAACGAAAGCCTTTAAGGAAATGGATTCTGAAGTCTTCAAGAATTTTATTATTAAGGCCTCAAAGATGTTTTCAAGTATTCAATGTATTACTAGTATATGAATTGAATTATTTTTAATAATTATCGTCACTTTTATTCATTATAACAAACGTTTGATTATCTTTTCAATTACAATACATGTCATTATTATATTGTTCTATACTTATGGGCGTATTTTGAAACAATATTTCTCATTATTAACATTACTATCAATAAAAAAAATATTACAAATCAAACTTGTATTTTATTTACTAATTTTTATTGATATAAGTTTAACTAATACTAATATTAAACTACCATAGTAGAATATAATCAGCAAACAATTCCGGTCTATGTCCTAGCTGAAGTAATATTCAACTCATTTTATATCCAAATAAGATATGAAGCAGTTAGTACCTTATAATAGGAACTTGATCAATAATATTTCATTCTGTAATTGTAATTATATGAATGGACTTATAATTATGAATGAATGGAATATATACGATTGGATTTGTGTTACTATAGTAGCTGGCTTATTATTTTTATTAATTATAATTGTGATAACATATTGGTTATGGAAGTGTTATATTAAGCGCCGGGAGTATCGTAATCAGTGCCGACAGATCGATGCATTTGTGGCCACAGTGTCGTCCCAATACACGGATATACAGACTACCTGTGCTCTCATTGATGATGGATTATTGAGTGATGACTACCACTGGCACAGCACCAGACAGAGTAGGCTTACCTTCTCATCCCATTCGTCACAACATATCGATTATCATAATTACGTGATTGAAGAGGATTCATAAAACATATCACCTTGCTCACCATACAACACAGTCTTATGATTTGTATTGTATAATCTATTATATCATAATTGAGAATTCATAAAATTAAAACATTTTATAAATGTAAAATAGTTTGAAAAATCAATTTTTATTAAATAATAATAATAATAATAATAATAATAATAATCAAAAATACAATATGTTTTCAATTAAGCCAATCATTGTAATTATGACAATACTTTAATCGTAAGTAATTATCGGGAAAATAATTGTCAAATGTTTGTGATTATGAATAATACAGACCATAATACGGTAACTAAAATATTTCAATTCAAAAATACTTATAAATGTAATGATTTAGTGTCTGAAGGCCCCCTTCTCGGAGGCTTTAGTAATGAAATCCTTATAGATTTTAGGCTCCATGTCCTTACAGGCCTGCGATTGTGTGACTCGAGTCATGTGCGCCAAAGAGTATGTGAAACACAGGTCTTCGAGCTCTTTGATTGTGAACTTAATGGCAGCCAAATAGACAGGGATTACATTGTCGACTGTAATACCGTTCCGTATAAGTCGGACACACTTTTGCTTGAGGTGTGTCTCGCAGTAAGATTCGGCCAAATCTAATAACTCGATCCCATCTTCCGGTGCCACACATACCTCACCCGTGTATAGGTATCGCAGGAATGACTTATAGACTTCATATGAATACTGGTCTAACTGTTAACGACAATATGTTTTGTGGTTAATATTATGCTGTATTATAATTACTGTATTGAATATCTAAAACCTAACCTCCAGTTCCTCTTTCTCTCCTTCGGGCCAATTGTTTCCAAACAAAGACCTGAAGTGTTGGCATCGGATGCGAAGTATTTCTTTGTGGACGTAAATAGGCTTTCCCTCGACTATAATCTTGAAGTTACTGGTGTTGCGGTCGTCGAAAGCCTCATCCATATTAGCATTTAATGGATTGTCCAACAGATCACTCAATACAACTGATTCATAGGTAACGGTAGGCGCCGAGAAGACGGCAAATATGTCGTGTAATGACTCATATCTCGTCTCTAATTATAAAAATTATAATTAAATCAAAGTTATTTGAAAGCAATAATCAAATGCTTACTCAAAGGCTTTAATACATTTCCGATTAGGGGCTGGCATTGACCCCATACATAGCACCGGCCCTCCAGTGTGATGGCCGCTGATATATTTGTCGCCCGATTGGATGCGATGTCTAGAAATCGACCCAAACTGTTGTCCAACTGGACGGGTATTGTTTGAAGAGCTGTGTTACCGGTGCCCAACTGTCCCCCATCGCACTGTCCAAACATATAGACTTTCCCCTCGTCTGACAAAACCATTGTGTGATTGTATCCGCAAACCACACGACATATGAATATATTGTCTAAATGTGTGATTAGCACCGGAAGTGTTTGGCCAGTTTGGTGTCCTAAACCTAACTGTCCATAATCATTGTATCCCCTATTCATGAGTTATAAACAATTACTACATAATTGATTACTCGTGTAATTACCGCATACCATGAATAGACAGCTCCGGTGTCCGACACCGCCATTGAATGATTGACTCCGCAAGCGATGGACACAACGCGACACGACTCGAGCAAACCATTCACTTGGATGGGCACGGATTGGTTATTACCGGTGCCATTGCCTACCTGTCCGTTACCGTTATAACCCCACCCATAGACATGTCCACCATTTGTGAGGGCAAGGGTGTGGTTATAACCGCACGAGATGTCCACCACTTTGTCGCTCACTAAACCCCATGTCGTGTCCGTGGGTTCAGTGGATTGGGTGGTCGACCCGTTGCCCAACTATTATGTAATTAAAAAATAATGAATAAATTAATGAGTGAGAGGTACAGTATATCGTAAAGTGTACCTGGTAATATCGATTATCACCCCACATATACACGTGTCCATTGGTGGTGAGGGCGCACATGTGTGTCGCACCGGCACTCACTTTAATGACCCCCAATGTGTTGGTACAGACTTGGTATTAGGGGAACGGTATCCGAGCTTATGGATCCACTTTCTAAGGGTTTGGGCATTTTAGGTGATAATATTATCATGGAGTTTATTTATTACAATAGTTAACTCATTGTTATTTAAATGTGTTATTAATAGATGTGTGACTATTAATGTCATTTGTATTGCGAGTATTAACTAATACAGTGTTTAGTATTAATTTTAAAGTAATGTTTGTCTAGTTTTGTGGAAATGTGTGGTCTGTCTGTCAAGCGTTCAGTTTGTGATGTGTTTTATGTAAATATTTAAATCATATTCAGACTATTCATTTAATTATTAAAATTAAAATGTAATTGCAAAAACTTTATATATTTTAATTTGTATGGAATATTTGGGTAGAGAGTGAGTGAGTGAGTGAGTGAGAGGTACAGTATATCGTAAAGTGTACCTGGTAATATCGATTATCACCCCACATATACACGTGTCCATTGGTGGTGAGGGCGCACATGTGTGTCGCACCGGCACTCACTTTAATGACCCCCTTATGGCTGAGTGCCTCATATTTGGTGACACTACCGGCGCTCACTTTAACGCTGAAGACCTCATCCTCTTTGGTCACAATCACTGCTTCCGTCACTGAATTCACGTAAAACACAGAAAACATACGGATATTAGCCTTCAATTGGCTGTCAATGAGACTCAAAGCCATCCATTTGTCGATTGACTCCCTTTTGACACAATTGTCTTCAGACAAGAGTTTTGGATCAATCGTAGGACTGACTGAATCATTGGATGACATTTCACTGATAGTCTATAAACCAATTTGTGATATAATGAGTGCAATGAATATTGTTTTTGCAATTTTTGCAAATCACAAGCAATAGTCTATTGAATAGACTGTAAACATAAACATTACAACAAAGTAGGGATCAAATGGCAAAACGTGTGCTAAACTACTTGTAGTATAATTGTCAGTATATTATAGATGGCAGTTATATGATTCAAATTATAAAACTTTTTATAAGTTTGTTTTATTACAACTCATAATCTGACCCGTTTACACGTGGGTTTGCAATCATAAATACCAGGTACACTTATTCTCTCTCTCTCTCTCTCACTCACTCACTCACTCACTCACTCTCTACCCAAATATTCCATACAAATTAAAATATATAAAGTTTTTGCAATTACATTTTAATTTTAATAATTAAATGAATAGTCTGTAATATGATTTAAATATTTACATAAAACACATCACAAACTGAACGCTTGACAGACAGACCACACATTTCCACAAAACTAGACAAACATTACTTTAAAATTAATACTAAACACAGTATTAGTTAATACTCGCAATACAAATGGCATTAATAGTCACACATCTATTAATAACACATTTAAATAGGTTACTCAATTGATAACATTATTTATTTGAGGTACTATTATAATAGTGGATTTTACGGGTTTGGGAATCTTTCACCTAGGTATTCGAGCCTATGGCAAGGGGATTATGGTTCAGACATGGTTGTGTAACCGGCCCGCTTTGTATTTGTATTTTTCAGTTTTTGGAGTCTATTCCTGGTCTACGGCTACCGTTCCGTCATAACTATAGTCATCATCTCAATGGTTGGCCGCAGACCTAACATATATAATAAGACCCTATTATCAGATGCTTGTGCCGATACACCCAACCATACCCACAGCTCCGACTCATTGGCATCGGTAGCCGAGTTTGCCGACTGGGACGACACCATTCAAGCCCTCATCTTAAGCTCATTTTACTACGGATATGTCATAACACAACTGCCCGGCGGTGTACTCGCGGAAAGGTATGGCGGGAAATGGATTATGGGCACCAGTATGCTATTGGCTGCCATACTATCCCTATTGAGCCCGTGGGCGGCGCGCCTGGACTACAGGGTGTTTATCGTGACTCGTGTGGGACTGGGATTATGCGATGGAGTGGTATATCCGGTGATGTGTGTAATGATCGCCAAATGGATGCCCGAATGGGAGCGAAGCCGCGGCACTACTATTATATTCACCGGCAGTTCCATAGGAATGGTAGTCTCCATACCGGTGGCCGGCCTACTATGTGACGGTACGTTTATGGGCGGCTGGCCCGNTCTCACTCACTCACTCACTCACTCACTCTCTACCCAAATATTCCATACAAATTAAAATATATAAAGTTTTTGCAATTACATTTTAATTTTAATAATTAAATGAATAGTCTGTAATATGATTTAAATATTTACATAAAACACATCACAAACTGAACGCTTGACAGACAGACCACACATTTCCACAAAACTAGACAAACATTACTTTAAAATTAATACTAAACACAGTATTAGTTAATACTCGCAATACAAATGGCATTAATAGTCACACATCTATTAATAACACATTTAAATAGCAATGAGTTAACTATTGTAATAAATAAACTCCATGATAATATTATCACCTAAAATGCCCAAACCCTTAGAAAGTGGATCCATAAGCTCGGATACCGTTCCCCTAATACCAAGTCTGTACCAACACATACCGGCCCGCTTTGTATTTGTATTTTTCAGTTTTTGGAGTCTATTCCTGGTCTACGGCTACCGTTCCGTCATAACTATAGTCATCATCTCAATGGTTGGCCGCAGACCTAACATATATAATAAGACCCTATTATCAGATGCTTGTGCCGATACACCCAACCATACCCACAGCTCCGACTCATTGGCATCGGTAGCCGAGTTTGCCGACTGGGACGACACCATTCAAGCCCTCATCTTAAGCTCATTTTACTACGGATATGTCATAACACAACTGCCCGGCGGTGTACTCGCGGAAAGGTATGGCGGGAAATGGATTATGGGCACCAGTATGCTATTGGCTGCCATACTATCCCTATTGAGCCCGTGGGCGGCGCGCCTGGACTACAGGGTGTTTATCGTGACTCGTGTGGGACTGGGATTATGCGATGGAGTGGTATATCCGGTGATGTGTGTAATGATCGCCAAATGGATGCCCGAATGGGAGCGAAGCCGCGGCACTACTATTATATTCACCGGCAGTTCCATAGGAATGGTAGTCTCCATACCGGTGGCCGGCCTACTATGTGACGGTACGTTTATGGGCGGCTGGCCCGCCGTGTTTATCGTGTTTGGGTTGGCCGGTTGTGTATGGGTTGTGTTGTGGGCGGTGTTTGTCTACGAGAGCCCCGACACTCACCCCTATATTTCCATAGAGGAGTACGAGTTCATTGTTGTCAACCAAACACCCGATGACTGTCGAAAGGTATGTATGTTTTGTCAGTTTGTTTTCACTATTAGTTTTAATATTCAAATTACTTGTTTTGAGATGAATATAACAATTTATAATATCCACACAAATCTTATTACGAAACTTTAATCCTAAAAATATTATTTTCTATTTTATATAAAAACTATTTTTATTTTTTGATTTTGATATTTCTAAAGAGCAGGGTCATTCCGTGGAAAAGTATATTTACCTCGATACCTGTGTACGCCCTTGTAATCACGCATTTTTGTAATAATTGGACCACATTTACCCTGTTAACACTTTTGCCCATATATTTAAGGAATATATTAGATATAAGTGTTCCTAAAGTAAATATTTTAATTATTATTACAGGTATTTAGATATGTCACAAAATCATAAAACAAATGTTTGTACTTTTAGGTTTCATTAATTACATCAGTGACCCACCTGTCCCACGCGACTATCGCATGGTTAGCCGCGTACATTAGTGATATATTTCGTAAATATGACACTAGTACAAATAATATAATCAGGAAAACAAATAACACAATAGGTTTGTACTTTAGCACATTTATATGTAAAACTTATTTTGTTTTAATAAATTATCTATGTTGTAAATTTATCAATTAGCATTCGTAGGACCAGCGCTATGTCTACTGGCCGTAATATATACCAGGTGCAATATTACAAAGACGGTTATCCTATTCATAATAGGCACGGGTCTACACGGGTTTCATTTCTCCGGATTTAAGTCGACTCACATCGATATGGCACCGGATTTTTCGGGAGTTTTATATGGTTTGACAAATGCCGTGGCTAATATTGGCAATATGATTTCACCCTTGGTTACCGCTCTCTTTCTTGATCAGGGGGTAAATATTTTTCGTTTAAATTTTATATTTCTTGTTAATATTTGCCATATATATTAAATATAATTTAGCACACATTATCAAATTGGGCCAGCATATTTTACATATCAATTTTAATGTACATTTTGGGGACAGGCGTGTATATTGTATTCGCATCAGTGGAACTTCAGAGTTGGGCAGTCCACACAAATAATCATAATATTCAATCTAATAGCGATGCTGATAAATCTAAAATTAGTAAAAATCATTAATTTAAAATAAAATTAAATGCTAGTATTTATGATATTTATTTATTGAAAGCGAGTGTGTGTGTTTGCCCGGGATTGGATCCTGGTAGATCTTTTATTGTGCTTGTATGCCTGGTCAGTGCCGTACTTTGTTAGCCCTTGTATTTTGTACTATTGCAATCGCATGCGAAATAAAAAAAATTTTAATTTATTAATAAATATTTATTTAAATCATTTAAATTCATATTTATATAATTAGTATGAGTCATACAAAATTAGTCACAGCCAGGTTCTGTCGATATAATAAACTTAGAAATGTTAAATTATTTTTGTACGAAACCTTTAATGAAAAATATATTTTAACATATTTTATCATACATCTTTTATTAAGTAATTATGAATTAATAATTTATTGTTTTACTGTTTATTAAAATACATACAGTAACTCTAACTTAATATTTATTTTGGTTACAAATACACAACTGTATAATACAACTTTTTAAATAGACATGTTAATAAACATAATAGCTGATAAATTTAACTAAACATTTAAGATCTTATATGAAATATAGTTATCTTGTTTGTTATATTTAACATAAAACAACATTATTTGAGATGCTTTTTTCAATAACTTATTTTTATATCAGATAAGTGAGTGGAAAGTATTAGAAATCATTGA